TTTTAATGTTGTAACTACTTTATTATTTTGATTCATTTCATTTTCCTAAAATGGAAGCTAAACGAGTAACTTTCTCATCTTTCACCTTTTCTACAATGTCATCATAAAAATACTGAATCTTCTTTCTCTCGAGAAAATGACATAGGCCTTCTGTATCCCCATAGGTAATTTGTTTCCTTTTCACAATGATATAATAGTGTTTATTTCAATCATAGATTGTAAAAATCCATCACAAATAATTTTACATAAAAATCTTCCTATCATTTGAAAGAAGAAATGACTAGATAGCAACATATGATTATCCTATCTTAGTTTATGCATTGCTCTAATTTTTGTAGTTTTCAAAACAAAAATAAAAGGTATTTATTTTTGGGCCTGCTGGTGTGGCTCAGGGGTTGAGTGTTGACCTATGAACTAGGAGATCACGGTTCAATTCCCAGTCAGGACACATACCCACGTTGCAGGCTCAATCCCCAGTGGGGGACATGCAGGAGGCAGCAGATCAATGATTCTCCTTCATCACTGATGTTTCTATCTCTCTCTCTCTCTCTCTCCCTTCTTTTCTGAAATCAATAAAAATATATATTTTTAAAAAAGATACTTCAGTAGGAAAGTAAGTGTTGCCCATTGCACTAAGTTTTATATCTATTAGTATGACAGGCATTACTGCCATTTATCAATGAGAAAACTGGGGCCCAAAGTCAATACAACTAGGTCAACAAACCACGTTATCTGAGTTTAGAAATGTTTTCAATGATGAAATAAGAATAAAATAATAAAAAAATAATTAAAAATCCACCAAATCATCCGTGAGTTTTTTCAGTCATGAAAACATTTCAATATTTAGTTGTATTGAGGAATAATAAGTGTAAATAATTCAATACTCAAAGAAACCCAACTGTCCCTTAAGACAGAAATAAGTGAAATCAAAATCAATGAAAATTTATAATATTCTATATCATTAGAGATTGGGTGACACTTTGGCCATGATGACCTTCTCTTGTTGTCCTCCCTATCATTCCCCAATGGTTATATCAGATTTTTATTTTCAAATAATTAGGAAAACAAATTTTCATTTTTGTAAAATAGACCAAATCATTCCACTAACATGTGTAATGTTAACAATAAGCTATTCCTTATGGGAGCCTCAAAAAGGAAGTGAAATATGAAGACTTTTAGAGAGCCTGGAGTTCCCAGAAAGGCCACTGGGCCCATGTATGTTCAGCCAGAGAACAAGAGATTCAAAAAGGGTTTGTTGCAGTTTTGAACAACCAAAGGAATAAAAAAAATGCCAAGTTTCATTTTCACTGAAAAGAGATATAAAAAGGAAAAGGTTTATACTAAGCCTAAAGAATTCAGACTACACATCAATTGGAAAGAATACCCTGCCTAAAGAAAGACACAGCAAGAGAGACTATTTCTCTAGAGGCTTATAAAGGCAAACAAGACGCCTTTGTGAATTGCTTAAAAGTGGATATAGATTCACCCACACACAAGATGATGCCCTTTCCTACATGAAGAGTCCCAATGCTTTAGCATATTTATGACTTCTTTTGCCTTTATGCTTAGAAAGTCCTTCATCTACCCCAACATCAGATAAATGTCAACTATATTTAAGAATTTGAATTTTTTCCATTTAATTCTCTAATA